GGGTTCAGTTAATAGCCATCGATCGATCGCTCGGGTTCAGTAACGCGTAGCCTGCAGTGCAATCACTTGGGTTCAGTTAGAGCCCAACGCCTCGCTCGGGTTCAGTTAGAGCCAACGCCTCGCACACACGCGCGTACGTGTATGAGAGAAACGCGCATCGCTCGGCCCCCGACCTCCCACCGTAACCGGGAACTCCCCAAAATTTTCCTCGCCCTCGCTTCTACCACGGTTTTTTCCGTCATGGACGGCCCAAAGAATGTCATGCAGCTGTGTCTCCGGCCCGCCCAGGACGAAAAGCCCATTTTTTGTCATGATTTTTTGTCATAGAAGTAGGAGCCGACCACATCTATGATGATACCGGGTTTTGTCACAATTATCGTCATAGAAGTGTCATATGTATGATAGAAAAAAATTTCGTTCGGCCCAAAATGTCACGGATGTGTCTTTTTTTTGTAGTGCTACCCTAAGATCATATCCAGAGGGCCACCATCCAAGGACAATGATTTGCAGGATAAATAACTTTAATCTATTGGAAAACAAGGTATCCAGACCATATATAAAATGTATTTGTTAGATCAAGATCATTAATGAGGCAATTACTCACTTTGTTGTTTGCCTAGGAAACTATATTCCGTTGTTCGGCAAGGATGACCATGTTCTCACCTCTGCCCACCTGGTGGTTCATGTACTGCTCACGGTGTTTTCGTCATGTTCGTATTGGTCATGGATCTACTCTAAGTACCCCTGTCTATGAATGCAGCCAGCTCTGCCCAGGTGTTATGCCTATACTCGGGTGTGTGTCAATCTCCCGGTATATTTGTCTTAATTCATTTGAGCTGCTAACTTACAAGCTTTGTTGTCCATGCTTATGAAATAGGTACCAACTCTGTATGGTCTGTACAGATGGAACCGATGAGGCAGGGTTCATTCTCATTGGTCAAACTGCTCAGCAGTTGATAGGGGCAACTGCTTTGCATGTTGTGGGCAACAATCAACCTGACAATGAGCCTGTCAATAATGTCTATCATGCTGCTTCTCAGATGATCTTTCCGCCGAAAGAGTTCAAGTCATTGTGCTCAATGAGATTCAAGTTTGTTGTGCATGTTACCAGTGATAGTTTCAAATCAAGACATCCGACATTTCACGTTCAGCAAATCAAAGATTACATTATTCTGAAGCCACATCTATCGTCGCTTGATGTTGCCATCCCTGGTGTTTACTAATTAGAGGTTAGGGCTGCGGTGATGGCTGACTAGGGGGTAAAAGCCTCTGTACTGATCACAAACATGGGGTTTGGCTCCCTTATTGTGATAGTTTTCTGTAACCGAATATGTATGGACTGAATCATGCCAGCCAGACTTATGCTTCTCTATCTATGTATATATTATTACTCTATATGGTGTTTGGGCTACTGTTCTGTACAAAACCCTAGCTAAGCATTCCCTTATCACTGGTTACGATTTCTGTTATGCTTGGAGTCTCTTAGATAACATATATTTTGTGCTTGACACTATTTGAGCGATATTTTACCACGAAGTTATGGTATCTCTTAATGTTCACGATTTCTTGGTTTTTTTATAAGCATGACTCATCTTTACTTTGTATGGCAGATGATCTACTGCACAATTGTGTTCATTTTTCTTTTTCAATAGTCAGTTAAATTCACATGATAACCAGAGACAAATGCTGACGGGCTAAATTCAGATACTTCGGCCAGCAACTTGGCCCATTCAGGCGGCCACGGTCTGAACATCTCACATGCCACCGCGCCCTATAAAATATCTCGCTAGGGCATCCCATTTCCACTCTTCTGATAGAATCGATTTGCTCCACCCTTCCACTGTTCTCTGGCGGTGCTTTGCCCTCTTCATCCACCCAAGGTTAGATGCTCAGCTCTCTTCCCTTTCCATTTACATCCAATCGATTGCAACTGATGTATAAGCGTGGCAACAACGGCGCTATGATTTTACAGCAGGATCCGTTCCAGCTCGAGATGAACTCAAACGCCCAGAGGGGGCTCTTCTCCACAATGCCGGTGACCAGCGCGCACAGTTTCCGTTCGGCCTTATCCTCGACGAGTAAGGTAACTCTCTTTGGTTTCGAGCTAGAACTAGGGAATCTATATACCTTACTTCTGGCTAGAGCAGTGCTCTCTACAGAACATAATTGATATAGGCTAAAATCATGAATGCCTACCATATTTGTGTAGCATGGATTAGGCATGTCTAGATGCTCTATCATATTGATGTACTTCAGAATTCTACTTCTAATTTCATGCACGGTGTCGTCCGGCTTCCTCATAGTGATGGTGATATGTATCTTCGTTTATATGGCCTCTTCACTGTTTGGTAGTATTTCATGGAATGCCTCATTGGTATATTTAATTAAAATAGACTTCAGTTATTTAAATGTGATAGATGCATTGGCTTTAGGCAGTCCCCCTCTTTTCATGCTCCCAGTACTTCTTGCCCCGTTTGTACGTTCTTTCCATTTAGATGTCCTTTACATAACAGTCCTACATACTACACAATTATCTATGATCTACTAAATGCTATATCTTATATCCTTAAGGTCAGGGACACTGTCAAGGTCAGCGCAAAGATGATGCTGAATGCTGTTCTTGCTGAAATGGGCTTGTCCGAGGCCAAGTTCAAGACCTACACGTGTGAATATGGGCTTATGGGTGCCACTGTGTATTTCTGGCAATCATCAGAGCCAACTAGAGTTCATGGCAAGCCAGCTACGAATGTTGATGAGGCTATGCAGAGTGCTGCAACTAAATGTCTCGAGCATCTTGCGGGAGCCATGGAGATAGAGTTCGATTGCCCACAAGTAAAGAATATGAAAGTTGAGATGACACGGCTGTCACGCAATATTGATGACAGGGACAGCCAGATCAGGTGCCTAAAGGCAAAGCTAAAGAAGAAGGATGGGCAGGTCAGGGACCTAAGCAAGGGCCGGGGTTCATTTGCTGATGACATATACAATTCTGGAGCTCGTATTGAGAAAACGGCAGTCAACTATCTGCCTTCAGGAGATACTTCAGGTTCTTCTTCTGTTGTGAGTGATGTGGCATGGGATTTCTATGGTATCATTCAGGAAGCCGAGGACCTCACCCAGATTTCTTTGATGGCGTCTGATGCGGTCCGGACCATAGGCATCTATCCATATGATGCGGAGTCTGACTGCTCTGAGTTTGATGAGTTCCAAGGTTTCTATCCTTCTGATGACGCCGAGGAAAACCGTCGTGGAAGCTTCCTTGATGACGAAGACTTCCTCTTCGACGAGAATGACTGAAACTTCAGGCACAGGAAGAAACGGAGGCCCTTTTGGTTTATCGAGAAGCTTCGCTTAACTGTCGAGCTAAGCTTCGGTGCCTCCATGAAAGGGTTGTGAATCAATGCAATATGCACCTGTCCAACCTTAGTGTAGATTATTTGTAATCGGTACTATGCCCCAGTATTTCTAGATGGATGATAGCAGGAAATATATACCTGCATAAGACTACTACCCTTCGCTATTGTAATTGTAATCGGTACTATCTAGATGGATGATAGCAGGCGATGTATATCTGCATAAGACTACTACCCCTTAGCTCTTTGATTTATGAACCTGTCCAGTGTTTAGTTTGGTATTACGTATGTACCTCTTCTACTTCTGCTTGTCACTAAGGTTACTTTTCTGTTTCTCTTGCTGTATTTCTCTTGTGACAATCCAGCTTCCTATTTTATATTACAACACACGTACGTATTGGATACACTTGGGCTCTGCTTCTCTATGTTGATATGAAAGCATGTAACGTGTTTCTTTCGTTTTCAACAGGAGGCAACAATCTAGGCCCATATAGACACAACGAAAGGCCCGTTTCTTTGTCCAGTGCCTTATAAAGGACGAGAAGGGCTGACCTAATATCCTTGGCTCCCTCCACAGAACCTGGCGGTGCAAGAGAAGTGCCTTCTAGCACGAAGCTCTGAGCAGAAAGGAACTCTCCAGGAAAGGTAAAGAGCAAGTTCTTTTCACCTGCGATCTTTGGAGCTTCACTTTGTTTTCAGTTTTCCCACCTCCAGTCCTTTTAATGCCAGCACGTTCCTTCTGCAGCAAATTTCCCTATGGATGGAGACGAGGTCTTCGACCGGGCCTCGCTTGGATCTACATCATCGGTGAACAAAATAATCCATCCATATGTTCAGGTTAGTCAAACTTCACCGCCTTTTTCCCAGTAGCTTTACTCTCTGCAGATATTCTGGGCGTACTACTCTGATTCCAAAGCATGTAGTGAGATAGATGGATCCAAAATCTGTATATATGTCTTACGCAATAAAAGATGATGCAGATTGGTCCAGCCACTGTAAGGGCGCCAGCCAGAATAATGCTTAGTCTCCTGTTAGAGCGGCTTAACATACCTGACGCCATTTACCGTCGAAGGCCATACTCACATGACACAGTCAGTGTCACGGTGCTCTTCTACACCTCTCCACCGATTAATGGAGTCAGTCCACCACAGATGACAATTACCGGTGTTCGCTCTGCCAATCAGGAAGTGGCAGAAGATTCTGCGGCTGTGGCAGCCATCAGGTACATGGAAAACGCTACAAACACTATCGTGATTGATCTAAACTATGCAGGGTTCAAAAGGATGCAGCAAGACAATGGTTATCTCAGACTCAGACTTAACGAGGCGTTTGAGGCGATAGACAAGCTTTCTAAAGGCTGCTTAATTGCTGTCAGATACATGTGTGCCTTCTCAGATCAGCTTCACAATGTTATCGCGCATGCCTTTCCACCTGCTCGTGCTGTGGACAAAACCACCAATGAAACCCTTATGAACATTGAAGTGGTGGCGAATAATCTGAAGGACAGAAGCCACCATTTAGAGAAAAAACTATACAAGGTTAAAAGACGGGCTCAGGCACGAGAGCATGAGATATTCGCACCGGTACGGCTTACCGTGTATTCCTATTGTTCATCATGCAGGTTGGATTTTACTAATAACAATCGAACCTTCCTTACACAGGTCATTCGCCGGCGATGATCAGGTGGTGCCAAGAACAGCTTGCTTCGACGCTGATGATGTTGCCACTATGTCTTAATTAGCTTCTGTTAGAGGGTTTACCTTTTGCAATAGTGCCTTATGCCTCGTGAAAACTGTTTGATGCCTAAGCCTTTTGTACAAATACCTACCATTGAATGTTATGTTGCATCAAAATGATGCCCAGTTTGAAAAATGTCAGTCCCTGTTAGCCTTGTATGTGATTTACTTGCTCAAAATTCATCTCACCAACGCTTTGTCTGCTTCTCCCGCCCTATCTCACTCAACTATATGCCCTGCTTCTTTTAATCGGGTTGTGGTTTTACTTTGTGCCTGACTCCTGCTGTTTTTAGTCAAGATAAATACTCAACTCCTGCTGTTTTTAGTGAGGATAGATACATGTACAACTAAGCATGCTAAACTTATGCGGCTGGCACTCGCGATTGCTCACATCGTTTGCACCGGGCACCGCGTGCCGGGGCGCGCTCCTGGTCTAGTACTACAAAAGAGAAGGCTGGTCATGGGCATGAGGTAGAAGGCGTCCACCATCACATTGGCCCTGGGTCGAGCGTTGAAGCCACAGGTGCAACACTAATAGCACATCTAGCCCCTTAAGTGTGTTTTAGTGTTGATGACATATTATTGGAGTGACTAACACTCGAACTAAGTGATCCTCTGGTGTTTAGTCTCATATGATGAAAATTATGGAGGTGAGAAACACCTCGATTTAAAAAGGAAAAAGGGGCCAGCATATTGAAAAAAGCCAAAGATTTTTGTTTTATTTAAGTCATAGGAAAGTCGCACTATAAGAGAGGTTGAGGTCATGTATAAGTGTGGGGATCATGAACTATATTTTCTATATGAAACCCACACCCAAAAAACATACACAAAAGCCTCTTCATTAACCCCTCCATAAAAATCCTCTTGGCATCTTTCTAGAGATATCCCGGAGCTTCGGGGTCCGTGGTGCTCCGAGAACCTAACCCCTGGACCTCGGGGGGTCCCCTTGGTTGTGGCTAGACACTTCGAGTCATCAGGGTCCCTGGCCCTCATGCCTTTAAGGTTCATCCTGGTTTTGCCTTTGGATAGGCCAGACATCCTCGGTCTCGTGGGACATCAACCACTATCTAAGCCGAGGTTCGGGCTTGCTATTTATTACGGGTTATGTTTATTATTTTCATGATTGGCGGTCTGTTTTCGTCCTTTCTAAAACACATCACACAAGTAGATTTTGGAGAGCATGACAGTGTAGGTGCTTGATGTGAAGGAATCTGTCGAGGTTTGCACCCCTGCAATGTCTTATGGCAGTTCGAATATATGAAATTTCTGAGTACATACATGAAATTTCAGAGAGCATCACACAAGTAGATTTCGGAGTACATACACGAAATTTCTGAGTATCTATGAGTGTTTGTGTTGCATATAAATAATAGTCCCTCTGTTCACAAATATAAGATATTTTAAATTTCAATATAGACTATATACAGACTAAAATAAGTAAACAAGCACACTAAACTGTGTCTATATGCAATCGATTCATAAAAAAGTTAGAACATCTTATAGTGAACGGAGGGAGTAGCTTTTTTATTTATCCATCGGATGCATCACAACCTCCACAAGTAAAGTCACTAAACAAACAGATGGTGCATACAAGGTACAGTCACAGTGCTCATAAAGCTCATATAAAGTCCCTTTCGTTGTGCACCCGAGCAGTATATACCCAGA